AATCATTGATATACTGATAGTCTTGACAAGGGTGTAGATCACCACTTTTCTTTCCAACAAAGAAGAATCCACTAGCTTGCGGTGATTTCAACTCAGAGATGAATCCTTTCTGTAGATTTTCATTGATGAATGCTTTGACAGCGGTTCATTCTGCTTCTCACAATGGGTAGACCTTGGACGTTTTAGGGACAAAACCAGGTTTAGTATCAATGCAATGGTCAATTCCAGGATGTTCTGGAGGTAATTGATTTAGTCCATCTTTAGCAAAGATATTGGCAAAGTCATGGAGGTAAGAAGGGACGAGTTCTTCAAATGATTTCTTCTTTTGTTCAAGCCCAGCTGCTAGAGCAAACTGCTGAGCTTTATTACTGGTTTTGACATATGCAGTGGGTCATGACAAGGGTGTGACCATGGGTTTCTGTTCTGTGGCACTGGTACCATCTTTGGTTAATGGGGTATCCAAGGAAATGTTGGTGATGACCCAGAGCTCAGTAGCATTGGTGGGGTATTCAACCAAAAATTCATCATCGTCAAGATGGTACATGGTGAGTTTGTGTACCAGTGGTGCATAGTTTGAAGTCCATACATTGTCCTTGGTATCAAAAGAGTTGTTGTTGTCATCAGGGATTTCTTCGATTGTTGCTTGAGGGAATGGTTCTGGCATGGATTGTACAGGAGGCACCTTCAGCAGCACTACAACTGGCATCTCCTTTTTCTTCAAACAGGAGTTCTTCCACATTTTATCAACCAGGATTTTGATGATTTTCTGAAAGAGAGGGGGAAGATCGTTCTTCCTTCGTTCAGTGTCAATGTCTTCCTCTATTAGATTACTCTTCTCAGTTCAAGAGAGTTTTAGAGTTTCAGCTTTCCACCAAATAATTGGATCCATGGCACACAGCCAAGGGATTCCTAGCAAAATTTGGTCATGATGGCTAAGTTTTGTGATATTGAACTTTCCAAGCATGGATCATTTGTTGATTTTCATGATGAGGACACAGTAGTGGGTGATCATGCCTCCTTTTGCATAACTTCCATCTGCTGTGGTTACTCGGAATGGTTTCATGAGTTTATGCATTTGAATTTTGTGAAGCTTAACAAAATCCTCAGAGATAAAAGTTCCGGCAGCTCCAGAATCAATGACAGTGGTCATTTTGACAGTTTTTAGGCAAGTTTTGGAGATAAGGGAAATGGGAATGTGAAGTTCCTTTCTGATTCCTACACCTCAAACAAGTCTAATAGGTACATTGGAAGTTACTGACATTGATCCAGTCTTCCACATTAAAAATCCTCATTGATATGACAGACTTCTTCTTCGTCTTCTTGGGTTGGCTCTGTGTGGCACACAGGGGTTTTGCCATTCATCTTCTTGGGGCAGTTATGGGAGACATGGCCCTTCTGGTAACAGTTGAAACACTTGCCATTCTGGTAGTGTTCAGTCTTCTCTTCCTCAGTGAGGTGGTCGACCTCCATAGCATTGGGGTTGCGGCGATCAATGGAAGGTCTGGGGATATAGTGTTGACTGGTAGGCTTTGTGGTTGTGCGATTGTTATTACGGAATGTCGCACCACATTGCCAGTTACTGTCAAGTCTGATTGCAGCTTGGACATATTTGTTGAAGTCTGTAGGGACGGTTTCCATTTGATAAATGGCATTACCAATTCCCTTCTTGAGTCCATCATTGAAGAACATAATAAGAACAGTGTCTTGTTTTATGTTGGCTTGTGCAGCAAGGGTCCTGAAACTGGTGATATAGGAAGTGAGGTTGCCTGTCTGCTTCAGGGTTCAGAGTTTATTCATAGCAGTGCCAATGGTGTCTGCTGGTGCAAACACTTCTTTGAACTTGGTTTCGAAGTTCGCGAAGGTTCCATAAGATTTCAAAGTGGAGTTGTCTGCTTCGGTGTAAAATGTTAATGCCCATCCTATAGCACTATCTTTAGTCATGTACACAAGTGCAGTAATGACCTTCTTCTCATCAGTGTTGTAAACTGAAGAGTTAATGGCAAAATATGCTTTCACTGAAAACAACCATCTTAAAGTGTGGTCAGGGCTTCCGTCATAGTCTTTTGGTGTTCTGGCTTTAAGTTTGGATGAAGAGCTGGACATTCTGATACTGGGGTGTGTGGAAAGATTTCAGGGTGGCTGTTCTTCTGGGAATTTGTCTACTGATGTAGTTGAATGATGGTCTGGTTCTGTGGTTACAGGGGATGGGATTCGTCTTTCTCTGTTTTCTGTGATATCTGGACCTTTGGCCTCATGATATTCTTCTTCTGGTTCTGTGGGGATGTCATTTGGATCACTCTCCCACCAATACTTTCTAACCCAAGGGGTTGTCTTGCTTGGAGCTACTGGGGCCTCTCTGGATGGAGAGGTTCGATAGGGACTTTAATCCTTTGTTACAAACTAGGGTAGTTCAAACAACAGACAACTTGATAAGAATCAAGGACCTCTGTTGAGATTCTTTACACAAGATGATAAGTCAAGCGTTCAGTGTAAGCTAAGTTAAAGGGAGTGCCTTCAACTTAAGATATGATTCTGATGACAAGAGATTGGAGGTCTCAAGTGAAGGATATTCAGGGTAAAACCTAGTAGGATTAAAGTAGAGAGCTAAAGCATACAGGAGACCTATTTATAGTGAACTACTGTGCTTTAGGGCAGATGTGAGAGCAGAAAGAGTTAGAGATAAGAAATGTGTAAGCGATAGCAAGAATAGATCATCTAGTAATGGCAACGGTGGTTGTGATGTAATACAAGGCATGAGTCAAAGATAAGTCTAGTGGCGGCAACATGCGGCTCATGATGTAATACACAGTAATAAAGGAGAAATGAATAGGGGTGTACATGGTTGTAACAGGGAGGTTCTGGATGTAATGGGTGATGAGCTGAATGACGAACCACACAAGCTGAATAATGGTGACCCATTTGGATAGCAGATTGCTTTTGCTTCAATCTTTTATATCTGCCTCCGTGATGGCAGGCATTTCCACAGATCTAGCTTGGACAAAGTCCAGAAGTTCTTTGGGTGTAAGAGTCCGCCGCTCACTGTCAATGTGGAGCACAAATCCACCCATCCAGGCAAAGAACCTGTGCATCTCTGTCCATCCTGTCAAGGCATCAGTTTCATGTCAGTTTCTTCCTCGCTGATGAGTCAGAGTATGTAACTGACCATCATCTAAACTTGTGCTTCCACCAAGTAACATATTTACCAGCTTCTGCCGCATGGCTCAACAGTAGCCACAGGGCTGGACTCATTGCAAACTAAATTTTTCATTGAAGGCTTTTGCAACTTGGCGAACATTTAAAAACTGCCATGCGGCCCAGGCGACCATGAATTCAGGGGCCAGAAATGCCATAAGCATGAGGAGTAGACAATGAAAGGCAGCATCAATTATTCCCTCTTTCTTACCTGGAATGTCTGGATGGATGGCAGTCCATGTGCATGCAAACAAAGTTAAGCCACAACTTGAGATAATGTCCCACAATGTCCTGGTGTTGCAGGATGGACAATCACTGGCATTGAGTGTAAGGATATGGGTATCATTGAGACCTGGGAGTGAAGTGCGAGCAAATGGAACACAGAGGAGGACAGCACAGAGTAGGAGGGCCATGGTAAGGTTGATGGCATAGTGTCTGTTCATTCTGCCCTCTTTTGAAGGGTTGCAATGTGCATCAATTCATACGTGTTAAGCAAGATTCAAGCACTGACACTCATGCACTCATGCATGCCTCAAGGCCACAGGGAATCTAGATATACCATGTCATGATATGAAGCACCAAGTCTGACAATGATAGATAGGCCAGGGTAAGCTCCCATGGACCAGGCTATATCCGACCCCAAAGGACAACAAATGTTTTTTGTCAAAAAATAATAATCTGACAATGAGATTCAAGACATACATTCATTTGCCCAGCTTGGATAGTATCATTATTGTCTAGCCATACAGAATGCAAGTCAGAGTGGTGATGGCCAGAATGTTGATTTTAAGCAAGGCTATCTGGATGGCTCTGGGCATAAGGGGGGATGAGCTGGACTATGAATTAAACCAACTGAAGCATGGCGATGCCATTTGATAGTCCATCATTTTCACTCCAATCTTCTATCTCCAAGTCCACCTCCAATAACAGGCATGTCCATGGATCTAAGCCCCAGAAGCACCAAAGTTCATTGGAAGTAATAGGGCCCTTGACCAATGGTTTGCTGTTGACATAGAGTGTGAATCTACCATCGATGCTGTCCATCCTATGAAACATCTGTTACATGCTAGTCCCACCTGGCCAAAGAGTCTGAGCATGTAACTGACCTTTGAATTCTACTGCAGGTATAGGAGTGCTCAAACTTCCACTTGTGTCATCAATTTATCCATGGTAAGCCTCAAGCGCTGGTGCTCATACACATGTGCATGCATCTGATGGGTGCACAGGGAATTGAAATATATATTTCGACCAGAGAGCTGACAATGCCAAGACTTTGGTTGTACTCAACATCTTGATTGGTTTGAATTTTGCTGTTATCACTGTGCTACCAGTTGAAGGTTTAGTAAGCATACTTGCACCTACATTGACAATATTTAGATGAGCATTAAAATTGACAAACCAAACAAATGATCACATTACTTTGTGAATGTCAGAGATTTGGCCAGTCTGGGGCTAGTCTGGGGCCAAAGTCTGGGGCAGAGTCTGGGGCCTTCGGCAAAGTTTGGGGGTCATGGCTGACCCAGGCTTGCCCGAGTGGAGGTTAAATTATATTGGTCATGTGTTTGCAATGTCAATCGCACCTCCTGCCAAGCTCCTGCTAGTACCAGTGTGCCCACCATAGATGGCTGCCAACACACCCACCATCCACCTACTACAGGCATGCTATGTTCGTGCTCCGATCAAAATGAACCATATCATGGCCACTCATTGCCCATTCCGCCTCATCTCCCCCCCCCCCATCTTTCTTCCTCACTGCCCACATATTCTCATCTCTCACCTCCTCTGCTCTCCTAATAGCGTTCATTATCATGTCTTCCCTGCAACAGGCAGATGTCACATTTCTGGCTAGATTATCTCTGCATGAATCTACAATTGGCCTTGTCACTGATTGCATGAACTGTGGAGGTACAATTCCAATCACCATATGTTGGAGCGATGCGAATGGAAACTCAGGGAAGCCAATGGCCAGGGTGTGTTGTCTGTATCAGCTATCTATCTTTATGTTAACCTTTCTTGCCAGCATCATCCATGTTCCTTCTTCTGCTGGTTCCCTCAAATTCTATCATGTCCAGATATCATGGCCCTCATCCCATTATCAAGCCATTCCCCATCTCTCACCAGTACCCAGCCAGTGCCTCCTACCTCCATGAATGGCACTGGTGCAGCTTTCGCAACTCAGTTCCCCTCAATGCAACCTCTTGCCTCAGCTGGCAATGGCAAGAAGCCACGCAAGTGAGGCATCAAATGCAGTGGTGCCTTCTGCCACCAAGCTAGTGTGCTGCACTGCCCACATGTAAAGTGCCTCTCCCATTGTATCAAGGAGGCAGGAGGATGTCCAGTGCATACCACTGAGTTGGGTACTAACCAGCAGCAGCACCCCATCGTGCAGCAGGATTGGAATTGGGACTATGACCAGGACAATACTCTTATGCTCCCTGCTGATGATACCCTTATACTCCCTGCTGAGCCCTACTGGATTGATGACAAAGTTCAGATGAATGATGGGTTGAGAGCACTTCAACGTGCACTTCAACGTGCACTTCAGTCTGCTGGTGCTGGCCAGCCTGCCATGCTCCCATCATTTCATGACATCTTGACAGCTCCTCCATCATCACAACCACCTGCACCAACAACACAACTACCTGCGCCAACAACACAACCACCTGCACCATTCCAGTGGTCTCATCTGCCCCCACTGTTGCAAATCACTCATCAACCAACACACTCTCAGAGTGGCAACGCCTTAGCAGCACATACCTTCCCAGTTCATAGGTTGTCGAAGCCTCCCTGTGTAACTGATCAACTCAACCCAATGTGGGCAGGTGATCTCAATGCACATGTGCAAGAGGAAATTGAGAGTAAGAGAGTGTCAGAATGTTGCAAGGAGATGGAATGAGCAGCCAGACAGCGCTTTGTCTTGTATTAGTTTGATGCTGTAAGTTGCTCCTTGGTTTCCCTTCCACTGCAGTACTTACTACTGATGTTTAGGACAACATGCCAGTGTTGATACAGTGGGCTGTTCACTGTCCATACTTCCCGCAATATCAGCTCTCAGATGATCCCACCCTTGTCAACTCCCTTGGCACTGACATTGAAAAGATCGATGTGTTTGAGGAAAGCTTCATGTGCTGGATTCTGTCAATGCTTGCCCATCCTTTCACTCTTGACTCAGGGTGCCATGTTTTTATATGATGACATGGTGTCACTGAGTGCAGCAACTTTGACGAGCTATTTAAGTCCTCCAAACTGTTGACCCACCCCTCTCACATGCACTGAAGGAATCAACTACTAAGCTATGGCACTACAAGGGATGCCAAGTCAGAGTATATGTGTGGTCGTCTCAGCTCTGCCTATGGCTGCTATACTTTGCAAAGGCAAGTGTGTTCGACCCAAGGGGAAGTGAGTGCAACACATCCACAGATCGTGTGAAGTGTGGGAAAGTTGCACACTAATAGGTGAAAGTGCACAAAGGGCTGGGAATGCAATGGGGACTGGGGGAAGATGATGACTGATACTGATGGGTGTGAGAACGACAAATGCGACAAGGATTGAGTGTGATTGTCAAAATGCTACTGACTATGGCTTCCAAAAAATGTGTGCACTATGCTGAGGGATGCTAAGGATACTAACCAGGCACTAAGTGGTAGCTCCCCCCTCCCATAAAAATGTGAATGCTATCATGCAAAAGGCAACTAAGTGCATTCCCACAATGCGGAGCCAACACAAGTAAGGTGCAGGAACGAAGAAGGTATATGTAAGTAAGGGCCCATGATGAAATATGGTGTCATGATAAGAGTAAATGTGAAAACATACCAGTAGGACTTGCTGGACAATGGATGGATGCTCCTGGATGATGGGTGATGAAGTGCAGGAATGCACGTGGGACACATGCAGGAATGTGTTGCGGGAGAGTAGTGTGCGCATTGCACAATGCATGGGAAGATCGCGCATGTATAGGCTGAGTGAAGGAATGATATAGGGAATGATGCCATGAGTTCATGCTGTGAACTGTATGCAGATACATCTCAATATAGGGCTCTACAGGCATACAGAGGCACAAGTCTCTACAGCACTTCAACATGAAGGGTGAGCATGATAGTATACACAAGAAGATAAAGCAATGACAGTCATCCACTGCTGCCTTATCATCAGACATTGAGATTTTTGACAGCGAGATGCCACTTATACCTGAGCTCAAGAAGATGAAGCAATGACAAACATCCACTGTTGCTTTATTGTCAGATGTTGAGATTTTTGATAAGGAGTTGCAACTTACACCCAAGCTGTCCTTGGGAAAGCACCACTGGCCTCAAAGCCCCAGCCAAGAGCAAGGGATGTGCATTGCTACATGAGTGCGACTTATTGGAGTTGTAGTTTCGGTTTTGGGACTGATTAACATTACTTTAGGGTATTGTTCAACCTCACCACTTCATACCACATGTGTCGTGCTTGGCACCACATGGTCATTGACTTCTCTGGCTCTTTGAGCCCCGTATCTTGTAACATTCAAATACCTTGTCATCTTGCTCTTTGTGTCCCTCAGTCATTGTTCACCAACACTGAGGTATGTGTCTCATTTGTCTTACTGTTTGTTTCACACTTACTTAGAGTTGTCTTAGTGTTGTGCTTTCCAACAGGTTATGAGCCCCGTGTCCTAAACGGCACAGAAACTGGAAGTACTACGAACTCCCTCTTGTTGGAGTGACTCAAATCTTTAGTTCAACTCCTTCTCTGATGTGTCACCCCAATAATGGGGAAATACGACCACATCCCAGAGTTGACCAGAGTGGATAACTATATTCCCTGGGAGACGCAGGCGCAGCTTGTCTTAATGAACAATGACCTCTGGTGCCACATAACTGAAAATGCAAATTCGGATGACATTCTTGGAATGGCTTTGTTCTTGCCTGTTGCAGCTACTCCAGCTACTCCCACTGATGCCGAGAAGGCAGCTATGCGAACCTGGCTTATCAACGACTCTAAGGCGAAGACAATCATCCTTTGTAAACTCGCACCTAGCATTCATCTCCTCATTCCTCGGAACACTTCTGTTACAGCGCATGAAGCTTGGAAAATCCTCAAAGACCACTTCCATTGTAATGACGTCAGTTCTCAATTTGTCATTTGGAGATGCATCCAGGCACTTCATATGAAAGACACACATGATGCAAACAACTATGTTGGTCAACACATCAGTTGCCGTGATTGCCTTATAACGGGTGCTTCCTATTCTGATGAGGAAGCAGTGTTCAATATCCTAACTGGGCTGCCTTTGTCTTCTGTGTGGCAATTATTCTGCACGCAGCTTGAGCAGCGCATGCATGACAGCTTCTCTGCCACAGTCGTCAGTTCTGCGCTCACTGGCAGCAGGAACCCCATTACTGCTTCATTCCAAATGAATGCACTCACGTTCGAAAGCTGCACGGCATGCATCACCGCAGAAGCTTTGCGCATGGTCAACATTCATCCTGCAAATGCGTCTGGTCCAGGATCTGAATATGCCAACTCCACATCCACCACATCCGCCTCCAGTGTCAACTCTATCACCAGGCTCAGGAAGCACAAGAACAACCCTCAAGGTGTCTTTTGCTTGACGACCGGATGTGGGCATGGAGATCATGACAAGGAACATTGCTATCGTGAGGGTGGAGGCATGGCAGGACAGGCGCCCTGGCAGCAGAAGAAGAAAAAGGAGACTGCAGCAGTTGCATCCAGCACACCTCCTGTTCCCTCAATGTCAATGCCTGCTCCAGCACCCACTATCGCTGCACTAGCCACCCACACATGCAATCTATCATGTGCAAGCATCGAAGACCTGCCTGATGAGGCCTCCGATAACGATGTCTCAGCGATTGCCCACACATTGTCAACCATTCTCGACTCTGGCACAACCAGCACTCTCATCAGTGATCACGCCATGTTCTGGACCTACTCTACCCAGGATCCCATTGTTGTGAAGATGGCAAATCATGGCTCACTTCACACGTCAGGACGAGGTGATTGTGTTGCTTGGCTTAAGATTGGAGGTACTTGCCATTGAGTGAGGTTCTCAAACTGTCTTCATGCACCTGGCGCCATGTTGAACCTTCTCTCAGTCGGGTGGATGCTGTCAAAAGGGTGGGAATGCAATTTTCGAGGTGACCCTGTGCATTGTGAGCTTGTGTACAAGGGAACATCTCTCGGCTCAGTTGCCATGTCTGGACGTCTTTTCTATGTCGATCTTGAGTTCATTCCTCCTCCTGAGTCAACACCTCTACCATTGGAGCCGACCGAAGTATCTGCATTTGCATGCATTCCACTGACTTATGATATCTGGCATGCTCGCATGGGTCACACTGGCGGAGAGTCTGTCTGTCATCTTCCTCACATTGCTCATGGTGTTACCATAGACTCAAATGTCGCCATGTCACGCTGTGAATCATGCATCATTGGCAAGCATCCATGGCAGCCTCATCCCACATCGCAGTCTCCTCCTGCCTCCCGTTTTTTGGAACTCATTCACTCTGATCTGTGTGGTCCCATTCCAGTCATAACTCCTCACCACAAACGCTACTTCATCATATTTCTGGATGATCACACCAGGATTCTCGCACTGGAACTGCTGGCAACCAAAGACCAAGCTTTGGAGGCTTGGAAGAATGTTCGTGCGAGGTGGGAGACTTGTTCAGGTCTGCGCGTTGTCGCCTTTTGCTCAGATAATGGTGGAGAGTTCCTGAATGACGCATTCACTGCTGAACTCAAGGCAGCCGGTATTGAATGTCAGCTTTCCGTGCCATATGCACACCAACAGAATGGGAGGGCAGAGCGAGTCCTTCGCATGATTGAAGGACAGATGTACGTGATGTTAAACTATGCATGGCTCCCACGTAATCTATGGGGAGAAGCAGCCCTCACAGCAGCATATTTGTTCAATCGCACTGAATCTCGCGTGCTCCCTGCAGGGAAAACACCCTATGAGATACTCCACAAAGTTAAGCCTGATCTCTCACACATTCGTGTCTTTGGCATGCACTGCTTTGCACATATACCCTCTGAACTCCAGGAGAAGTTAGGCCCCAGATCTCGCGAAGCTATATTCATGGGTTATGCCCCAGATGGCTGAGCATGGCGCTGTCGTGACACGGCGACCAGTAGTTTCTTTAACTCCAGGGACATCATATTTGACAAGACTTTTTCTGGTCGTCCATTCCCAACAAACAGTGATGATTCGGATGAGGAAGATGAAGCACTGGCTCCTGCACAGCCCTTGGCACCTGTTCGTCCTTCAACTCCCACAATTCCCTCATCATCCTCCACACCTGCACCTTTACCAGAAGCACGTCGTTCTGAATGGGCATGCATTCCCACAGCACGAGGACAGGTCTTCCAGGAGCAGTTGGCATCGGATTGCAAACACTTGGCATGTCAGCGTGAGTTGCATCAAGCACACATTCAGGGGGTGCCTCTTGAGGGGGTGAATACTTTGCCTGACGCTCCACCAGAAGGTACCACTGATGATCCAGATGCCATTGTCCCAGACGAGGACGAAGTTGGCTATCCCCATGTTCTTGCCAATCTCATAGCCACCGAATTTGCCTGTGTCACCATCCGTAGCAATGCTCGTCGGAATCCTCTCACCTTGGACTACAACATGAAGATTCTACCTTCCACTTTCGACAAGGCAATGCAACATTCAGACACCAACGAATGGCTCAATGCCATGCACAAGGAGATCAACTTGATGTCAGAGATGAATGTGTATGAGTTGGTGAAGCTTCCGGAGGGGCACAGGGTGATAGGATGTAAATGGGTTCTCGAGTTCAAGGAGGATGCAAAAGGTGGGCCAGTGCACAAAGCTTGTCTCTTCGCGCAGGGATTCTTGCAGGTACCAGGCATTGACTTTGGGAAAACATTTGCACCTGTTGCACATCCATCATCCATTCAACTTCTTTCTGCACATGCAGCAGCTCACGATTGGGAGATTGACAGCTTCGACACAAAGCGCACCTTCTTGTGGGGCAAGCTGCATGAAGATGTGTACATGCGCCAGCCGCCAGGCTTCGAGAACAGGGCAAGCTTGGTATGCCATCTTCTGTCTTCACTCTATGGACTGAAACAGGCTGCATACGACTGGTATGAGCTGCTGCGTGTGGTGCTTATTCACCTCGGTTTCCTCCGTTGCGAGGCTGACTATGCTGTCTTCGTGTATGACCATGTCAACAGTGAGGGGGTGCACATCATCTGCATCATCGCATGGCACGTCAATGACGGCCTTGCAGGCTGCAACAATCGCAAGTTCCTTGATCGGATCAAGGGTCGCATTGCAGATCGCTTCGGCATCGCAGACTTAGGGCCAGTTGTCAAGCATTTGGGCATCCAATATGTCCATTCTCGCGCTACTCGAGAGTTGTGGATGCACCAGCAGGAGTACATAGTCTACCTCCTTGAAGAGCATGGGCTTCGCCAATGCAATCCTGTCTCACTCCCCATGGACCCTGCCTTTCCTTTTGGACGAGACACAGACATCCACCCTCACATCAACAATCTCCCAACCAAATATCACAAGCTCATCAGGGAATTGCTCTACCTGGCAATGTACACTCGCCCTGACATTGCCCTCGCCATCATGAAGCTGTCACAGCACAATTCCTCACCCGAACTCTGTCACTACACTGCTGCAAAACGTGTCCTTTGTTATCTCTCTGGTACCCTGTCCTACCGCATACATTACAGAGGAAAGAATGCAGACACCACCATCCATAGCTTCAGCGATGCCGATTGGGCCACATGCCCAGAGGACCGCATCTCCATCACCGGGTATGTCTGGTACTACCATGGGGGTCCTATCTTGCACGCAGCGAAGAAGCAGAGCACTCAAGCATTGTCGTCAGTGGAGTCAGAGTACATGGCATTGACAGGAGCAATCCAGGACAGCCTATGGATCAAATCATTCTGCGAATGCTTGAATATCGCGTTCACCCTGCCTCTCAAGCTCTATGCTGACAACACAGGTGCCATCGCATTGTCGACAGAGGCCGCCAACCACATTCGCATGAAACACATAGACTTACACTACCATTTCATCCACAAACACATCGAAGCCGGCACCTTCTTACCCATCTGGGTTTCCACACATTGCAACAGTGCCGACATCTTCACCAAGGTTCTTCTGTGTCCTACATTCATTGTGCATTGTGCAGGCCTCTCACTTGTGGTGGGTTGAGGGGGTGTATTGGAGTTGGAGTTTCGGTTTTGGGACTGATTAACATTACTTTAGGGTATTGTTCAACCTCGCCACTTCGTACCACATGTGTCACACTTGGTGCCACATGGTCATTGACTTCTCCGGCTCTTTGAGCCCCGTATCTTGTAACATTCAAATACCTTGTCATCTTGCTCTTTGTGTCCCTCAGTCGTTGTTCACCAACACTGAGGTACGCATCTCATTTGTCTTACTGTTTGTTTCACACTTACTTAGAGTTGTCTTAGTGTTGTGCTTTCCAACAGGTACTTAGATTGTGAATATAGTCGTTGTTCACCAACACTGAGCATTGTGCTTTCCAACACGACTGTCACGAGACAACTTTGATACCTGCTTGATGTCACCAACACCACCACTATCCCCCAGTCAACCATGAGAGGATGACTTTGATGCCCATCACGCTACTTCGATATCACCAACACCACTGCTTGAGTCCACCTCTTCAACATCTGCAGTCGAGCATATTTGGCAACCAGCGCTGCCTTCAAAACACCAGTCAGTTCAGGCTGCTCCACATGTCATTCCTGTTCACATTCTGACATATGATAGTGCCAAGCCGCGACGAGTCTGGCCACAGGGAATGTACACAGTTGATATGGTTGTCAGCTTTCAGCAAATGGACATCCCAAAGTTCCATAACCTATATGGTCAGGAACAGCTCTTCATCTTATCTTTGGCAACACTCCATTCGTTAAGGCCACATACCATCAAAATCGCAAGGCATGGTGTGAGACACCACTGACCATCCTTGAGACCCACAAGCAAAGTGGGCACACTCAAGACGGCCTTTAGTCAAACTATCTTGCTGCATGCTGCATCACCTTGGGTCTGGAGAGCAAGAAACATAGCGGGCAGAAGTAGTCATTCCACCCTTCCTTTCTGTCATTGTTCTGTCGTTGTTTTGTCCCTTGTTTGTTCTATACACTTGTTTTATGTAGCGCTTATCCACTGTTGACTCTGGCTGTGAACTTGTCAATTGAGCTACTTTCAGGACCTGCATCCAGAATCTAGTGCTGCCATGAATGCTGACCTGTCCAACCTCAACTTCTTACTTCCTGATGCAAAACCCGACAGTGGAGTCTTTGTATTAGACATGTCCAACTTATTCACTGCACTAGAAGGTGAAGGAGGGCATAACAGATATCCTACGATGGTCCAGGAGTAAGATGCTGATAAATGTATACACAGGTAATCAAATAACAGGTGGATGGTGAGGAAGTTTGCCTTGTGTGTGAAGGGCAGCAACAGTCATACGGTTTCTATGGAGGATCATCTCATCAAGAAAAAAATCGTACTTCACTGGTGTCATCTCTCAACAGATGTTATGAAAACTGCCAAACCAAACATTTGTTTGCTTCACAATTGACAAGTTGAAATAGTACTTTCTGTCATTGTCGAGGAGTTCAGGGTAGGCCTTCATGTCACAGCATTCGTAGCAGAACACATCACTAGCCTTGTGCTTTGTCTTATGATGGAAGGCATCTACATACATTCACATCCCCTCAAAGAACATGATCTTATGACTCTCAACCTCCTGCAATGCATTGCAGTTGGAGTCATAGATCATGTGCTGTGGTTTATGGGTGCGTGGGAGGGAGAACATTTTCTCAACCAAAATCTTGAGAACATAAGTTAGCATGAGTGTGTGAGTGTGAAAATAAACTTACCAGTACATTCAAGACAGCCTCATGGTGATACATTGTGCCACAACCAGAGATGATGCCACAGGGATGAATGACAAGTTGTTCATTATTTGTACACTGACACCGGAATGTAGCCTTGATTTCGGGTGGCATATCCTTGGCACTGCACTCATCAACAACATGATTGGAGACTCCAGTCGATGTAGTTGTTGGTGCCTGAAGGAAGCACACAGCACCAGACACCTTATCATGCTCATACCATTCTTCGACATCTTGAAGGGGGACGTCTTCTGCTGTGGAAATTGTGATTTGGGGAGAAACGCTGTGTGAAGCAATGGAATCATTCAGCTTTGTGGTTCTCTGGCACTGTGTTTTGCTCTTGCTGCTACATGAGGATTCGACATTGGCAGCCTCCATTCAAAGATGCACCAGATCCTGGCAAGATTTGTGCATCTTCCCATCAGCACCAACCAGCATCACTGGCTCACTACAGCCCTCCACAGCACAGACTGTCTCAAGGTGGTGATGGTCTGCTGAGCAGAAACGATGACAATTGCTCTCAAGAGCATTTTTGCACTGTGCAATGGCACAGCAAGGCTGTCCAACTGTCACACCATCAGTCACAATGACTTCTGTATGGTGAAGTGTTCCATCCAGCATCTCTAATATTCTCATACATCCAAGGCAAGTGTGAGGCAGCTCCTCCTGACCCTGGAGGACAATACGAGTGTTCTGTGCATACATGGCCTCTGTAAAGCGATTTTTCTGGTTGCCATCATGTGGCACTACCAGGTGTTCTCCTCATAGTTGGTAGTTGTCAAGTAGGGCAAGTACTACAAAGCAGTCCCAGACTTGCTCTGTCATGATTACATTCCCAAATTGCCAGTGGTTGGTGTTGTCATCAAAATTGCAACATGTCTGGGCAATGCCATACAAATGACCACAGTTTGTCACTGAAACACTGTAATATAACCTCAGTAAAGGACCGCATGAGAGTTGAAGACAATAGAGACTTATGCAATCTGCACAAGGTCCATCCAATGCATGACAAGGTTGGGCTCGATGAATTGATGGTCCAAGACTTGAATGTATTGTGGGATGCCACCATAGTAGGTTCAGAGCTGGTCCTTGATGCCGTACTGTAGAGCTATGACACTAGGTTCGTCATGTGCAGCATGTGATTATGTCATACTCAGTGTCACTGGTTCAAATGTCCATGTGACCTGTGACCACACCCAAATAGATTCGCCCGCAGATGCTTCGCCACTTGCAACCATATGACATGCCACTGCTTCATGATTGTGACAACTTGCTTCAGGATTTGCCTTGCATAGTGCTAATGATGGTAACAAGTGGACTTGGAGACTCTTGCAATATTTACATGATGTTCAGAAGTGTGCAAACCACTCTGAAGTCTATGATGTGGGTGACATTGCTGCTGAAGATGTGGAAGGTGGCTCGAACAGTGTTCCGAAGGTTGATTATGGGCATGGAAAGTGTAGATGTATCACAAACTCGATGTATGACAATTTTTGGTCCCATTAGTGCACAACCTATGTTTTTCCTATGTTTTTTTCTGAATGTCACAAATTAGCTTCATCCCACCAAAATTCATGTGACAGTCACACCAAATAGATTCAATTCATCAAGGGCTGTGACCTGTGACGAACCTAGTGTCATAGCTCTACAGTAGTTGAACTGGTAGTTTGTATTGCATTCTTCATGGGCATTAAGGGTCAGCAAAGCTATCATACGAGCATACAGTGGCTCAAAAAACTGTCCACATGTTTTGACATTTTTCACTATCTATGATATTGTGTGAGAATGAACAAATGCCTCAAGGACATGCTTATACCACATTGTAGTATGGCTTCAGGGCTTTCATTTAAGCCCTACACCGTGGGAATCGGTGGAGATATGGTGGAGACATAAGGCTTATAAAATGATGACTCATGTGGACAGTTTTTTGAGTGTATATTAAAACTATATAAATCATTATTTATGACACCACAAAAATCATGCCACTATTATATAAATTATGAAGTGGTGTCATTATGTTATTTTATGACTATATCTAACTATATAAACCAGAATATCTCATGTATCATAGTCATAATCACCATGAAAGCCATCTCCTCTGCTCAAAGAGATAATATCCTCTCTCTGTCTTATGCTGGCCTCTCTGCTCACCAAATTTCCTCTAGAACTGGAGTATGCAAGTCCACTGTGGCCAAGTTTATCAAAGAAAGTCACCCAGACAAGAAAAACTCTTGTGGAGGATGTCCATCCAAGCTTACCTCTACTGACAAAAGGGCTATTATCCAACATATCACTACAGGAAAGGCTGATAATGCTGTCCAAGCCACCCATTATATCAATTCCACCATCACTACCCCTGTCTCTTCACAAACTGTGAGGAATGTTCTCAAGGCAGCTCATCTCAAGGCAGTAACAAAGAAGACAAAGCCTCTTCTCTCTATCAAACATAGGCAGAGAAGACTAGCCTTTGCCTTAGCTCATCAACACTGGACTGTAGAGGACTGGAAGCATGTTATATGGTCAGATGAGACCAAAATCAATAGGATTGGGTCAGATGGGAAGGTATATGTATGGAAAAAGAAGGGAGATGGCCTAACAGACAGAGAGGTTAATAGGACTGTCAAGCTTGGAGGAGGTTCTTTAATGGTATGGGGCTGTATGGGATGGAATGGTGTGGGAATGCTTGCTGAGGTTGAGGGGAAGATGAATGCTGAGCAGTATGTGGACATTTTAAATGACCACTTGCTGCCTAGCTTGGCAGAATCAGGGATTGATGAAGAAGATATCATTTTCCAACAGGATAATGATCCCAAGTACACATCCAGAAGAGCTAAGGAATGGTTTGAAGAACATAACATTAATGTTCTTGACTGGCCAGCACAGTCTCCTGATGTCAATGTCATTGAACATCTCTGGGGAACACTCAAGAAAAAGCTTCAAGCCTATGAAAACCCCCCTAAAGGAGTATGGGAGCTTTGAGAGAGAGTAGCAGTGGAATGGGGAAAGATCACAGCTGAGGATTGCCAGAAATTAATTGAGAGTATGCCTAGAAGGATAGAGGCAGTAATTGAAGCCAAGGGAGGTCATACAAAATACTAGAATACCTGGTTATTATTGTAAAATACTTGAGTCAAAAAACTGTCTGCATGAGTCACCATTTTGTGAGCCTTGTATCTCCACCATATCTCCACCGATTCCAATGGTGTAGGGCTCAAATGAAAGCCCTGAAGCCATACTACAATGTGGTATAAGCATGTCCTTGAGGCATTTGTTTGTTCTCACACAATATCATAGATAGTGAAAAATGTCAAAACATGCAGACAGTTTTTTGAGCCACTGTAAGTGTAACATACATACCTCAACACTTCAAGTGCACTGTCCAGCCAGGCTTTGCACCCTCGCTATGAGTAAATATGATAATCCAGCGCTGTTCCTCTTTCTTCAGCAGTGTGCCATGCTGCCATGTGGTGCAGCCATGGTTGATGCAAGTCTTGACTGGTGGATATAGTGTGCATCCCACTATGAGTTGGATTAGTATGAAAATGATGAGATATGTGAGCATAGTACCAAGTCCTATCTTATGGCCATGGAGCCTGAACACAACTTCATCTTCAGTGCTTGCCTCAGCACTCATTAGCAGCTCCCAGACAAGGTCCTTCACAATGTACCACAGATTATCAACTGCATTGGATGACATGTTGAGAGAAGTAGCGAGAAATTTAGTCACACTGTCTGGAAGAACATCAGGTGCATGGGAGACAGGAATGCGCTGAGGTTGGGGTTGAAGGACATCATCCTTGAGGAGGCTAGCATGTCAGATGAAACTGGTAAAGTCCACATAGGTTATGTGAGTGAGAACAGGGTGTTTTTTTATTGCAGTGAACAGACGGCCCACATCCATGATGGGCAAAGAGATAGCTGACATCACTGAGTGCAGTGATCAGCCTGCAAGAGGTCACAAAGGATGGGTCACAGAGGGCGGGTCACACTGGCTTATGTGTGGTGGCTTGGTAATGGTTGCAATACGTGACCAGATATAATTTAAACTCCGCAAGGGTCAGCCACAGCCCCAGACTTTGGCCCCAGACTGGCCATTTCCTGGATGTCCTCATTACTTTAATGATGTGTACTATGTAGTGGGAACACCGCGGCAAATACCACAATGGTGGGGCAGCATTTCCCTAGTGCCCATTCTATGCGAAAAACGACTGAAGGGTCTGCATCTTTGCAGGCAATTGAGTGTCCATCACACATTCTCACTTTGGCCATTGAGCCAGCAAGTGCATATAGTATGGCTATGTACTCTCGGATTTGATACCAGGGTCGCACCTAGTATTTTCCCCACTTCAAGCAACATATCCTCCGTCTCAAGTCCCAACTACAACTCAGTGCATTGCTCTGCCGAAGTGACTTGGGTTGATCACCATTCCCCATCAAACTCATTGCCAGCCTTACAGCAAGATGGTTTTGTAGCTGTCATTCATCCTTATTCTAATATTTGTAGCTGAATCGAAGATGATGTGCCATGATGTGGTCAAACCATTTCGGATTACAAGCCTGGATTCTGTTTACACAAACACCAACAAGTGCGCAAATACTTCATTCACTTTGCATTACGTCTATCTATTTCTCAATCAGCAGTGAACTGCGTATTATTCTATCAACAATAGCACCGATAAGAAAGTGGAAACATAACCCACCAGTGTGTTGCTACGTGTGGGTTTACCGGTCCCTTCATTTGTGCTCAAGGCCGGGGGAGTATACTAGTAGCACATCTTACTACCATCCGTCTGATATTAAGGGGGCCAAAAGGGTGAGTCGTCAAGTGAAAGTGATGCAGAGCCAACTACTCCTACTAACCAAGGTAACGCAGGATTGCATTTCCAAGCAGCAGTCAGCGTCCTTGGTGCAAGTCTCGCCGTCGTGTGCACACGCACTGACGGACATTATAGATGTCATCAGCGCAACAATAACTGTGAGGAAGGAGAGACGCATTGTTCGTGCGAGGTAGTATGAACTGTTGAGGTGGTCCAAAGATCTCTTTGGGGTAAAGTGGATGGTAGGGAGATGACTCACTCTTATACTCGTGAAAAATAACTTCGCAAGAATGCTATTTGGCAGAATGATTTAGGTAGAAGTAGTGTTGTAGGCAGAACTATTTTGAAGCGGTTCTGTCAGCATGCCAGGTGGCAGAATGGATCAAACTTTTTGACAGTGTTTCAATCGATGTGAGGCCACGATCCTCCTGAGCATCGTGAAAATGCTGCGGTGCCCCCAAACGGTGAGTGCGTGTGCATCGACTAAACTTACTGCTAGTCACTGAAACCTCCCAATATTTATCCTCCAAACGAGCCGGGGAGTTGAGCGTGCGGAGCCGCTACATGGAGATACTGACGAGGTGAGTATATTAGTATGACGCTCACATGCGTTCATAAACTATTTCAGGACTGCCCTTTTCCATCCCTCAATGGCATGCACACATGCAACATATCCAAATGCTTTCACAGCCACATTTCGATCGAACTGTTCATGTTCACTTACATTCATGTGGCAGCCTTTCCTCCGAAAAATACATAACGCCATATACATGAGGCATAGACGGTAAGTAGTGATGGAACGCCTCTCTATCACAGCAGTTAATTTTACCGATGCAAGGCTGGCCATCTTTCGCACACACACTGACAGACATTAGATGTTGTCAGCGCAACAATAACACTGAGAAAGGAGAAACGCATCGATTGTACGAGGTGGTATGAACTGTTGAGATGGTCCAAAAATCTCTTTGGGGTGAAATGAACGGTAGGAAGATCACTCGCACTTATACTCGTGACAAATAACTTGGCCGAAATTCGGTTTGGCAGAATGATTTAGCTAGGCAGGACTATTTGAATCAGTTCTGCTGGCAGTACTGACAGTACCTGCTAGCAGAACCGTGTTCTGCCAGCGTTGCAGGTGGCAGACGACACCGACGAGGATGGCGTTCGGGGTTGCTTGACATTTTTATCATTTGTCTACTCATCTCGAATGCCAGACTCATCTTGCACTTTTCGCTATCTCTATAGCTGGCTCGTTTTTGGAATGTCTCGTTCAAAAATGAGTGAACTTTCTGTTCTTGATGTGCGGTATGATTAGCGTGCATTTATGACTAGATTGCCTTTGCTGGGGGCTTGTGCTCTTTACAGTTTCGCGAGTTCATCGTCTGTTTCTCGATCTTCCTATGTAGGAAACTCAATGAACCATACAGACTCCTCGTTTGAAACCGCTCATCCATGCTGCGGTCAGTTTATCGTGTATTTGTTCTTCACGCTCCAATTAATAGAAAATACTATGTTAAGACTTACAGCAGCCAGTCAAAGCGGAAATGGTGAAATCAGAGGAGTCCCCGAAGTTCTTGCTATCAAGGTCCAAGTTCTAGTTATTCGAGTGCTCTCTGAACCTTTCCTGATATCTTCCGCTGATGAGAATTCGAAACTGACATGCATCAATTGTTGTAACACGATAGTAAACACAATGAGATTTCAAGATCCTACACGTGTATTATGCTCAAACCTGCGCCCAGTTATATTTCATTTCCTCCAGTTCACATCCTGTGGCCAAGGTTGATGTGGACAGCCTTCACTGCAGTGTAACTGAGAGCATATGAGTTTGTGCTAATATATCATGGACGCAACACTCACTTAGTTAGGGCATAGTCGCCGCATTCGCGACCGATCCCACTCTGCTTGAAACCGCCGAATGGTACATTGGAGTTGAATGAGTTAACGCAGTTAATCCATGCAGTTCCAGCCCTGAGTCTGTGCGCTGTGTTGATAGCACGGTTCAAGTTCTGGGTGAAAACAGCAGCAGCAAGACCGTAGAATGTGTCATTTGCCTGCTTGATCACATCTTCCTCATCCTTGAACTTGATAACGACACAAACGGGACCGAAAATCTCCTCTTGGACGATCTTCATCGATGGGTCGACATTGGTGAAGATGGTGGGTTTGATGAAGTAACCCTCGCTTCCATGACGTTCACCTCCAATCTCAACCTTGGCACCAGCCGCCTTTCCGGACTCAATGTAAGACATGATACGCTGTAACATGCATCAGACAGATGAATTGTTACGGAAGGATCTCACGGCGTACGTTGAATTGAATCTCTGAGACCTGAGGACCCTGGAAAGTGTCAGGGGCAAATGGGTCGCCGACTTTGAGCGACCGAGTTTTCTCCATGAAGCGCTTGAAGAATTCGTCATAGATGCCTTCTTGCACGTAGATACGCGAACCTGCGGTACACGTCTGACCGTGGTTCCAGCTGGTGAAATATAAGTGTAGTTTGCATGACAGCACGCTATACTCACAAGATTCCGAATGCAGCCCAGTTGACAGCTTGTTCGATGTCTGCATCGTCAAAAATGATGTTTGGACTCTTTCCACCGAGCTCGAGGGTGACGTTCTTGAGGTTGCTCTTGGCAGCAGCCTCCATGATCTTGCGACCAACAAGGGTTGAGCCAGTGAAGGCGACCTTCTCAATCTTCATATGCGAAGAGATGGCATTACCGACAGTGTTTCCATAACCAGTGACGACGTTGACTACTCCAGGTGGGAAGCCAGCCTCATTGATAAGGTGGCACATTCGGATGGCGGTCAGGGGTGTGAACTCTGAAGGTTTTAGAACGACGGTGTTGCCGCATGCAAGAGCAGGACCGATTTTCCAGGCCATCATGAGCACTGCGAAGGGAAGAGTGAGTGCATGACACTTCAAACGACTAATATCAACGCACATGGGAAATTCCATGGGATGATTTGACCCTATTAAACGGGTATAAGAGGAAGATCTGGGAACTGCGAAAAGTGCGCTTACAACGACACCGATGGGCTCGTGGCGACTGTAGGTGAGCTTATCCTCGGTAGTCTGCTCAATTGTCAGCAAATGAGCGAAGCTGATTGTCGAAAAGCTTCAGACCTCTTGTACTTGACCAGTAATTTTATCAGCCCAACCAGCATAGTAGCGAATACAATCGATTGAACCAGCAACATCAACATTTCTTGCCCAATTGAAAGTCTTGCCTGGCGAGTATTGGTTAACAATTCAGATGCTTGCTAATTGGACCATGTGCTAACCATTGTCCAATGCCTCCAGAGCAGCAAGCTCGTCAGCATTTTTCTCCATGAGCGCAACAAGCTTTGACATCAAAATGCTACGCTGAGCACCGGGCGCATGAAGACCCCAGATGGTATCGAAGGCTGTCTGTGCAGCGTCGACGGCAAGGTCGACATCCTTGGGAGTACCTTCGGACACTGACATTGTCACCTTTCCATTTGCTGTGCATCGAGTTCATGTAAGATGGTGAATATCAAAGTCAACAGAACATACTGGGGTTGATGACGCTAAATTTGTTGAGATCAGTAGGAAGTGATCGATTAGTGACAAGTGTAGATCATACTCAATGGTGGTGTTGTCTGATCCATCCAGGAACTGGCCGTTAATGAAGAGGCCGGTGTTGAAGGAAACTTTTCCCTTGAAAGCGGACGCGTTGAACTCGTGAGTGAATGTAGAGGGCATGGTGATAATAGATTGATATCTCGCGGGTTGTGTATATATAAGAGCGGAGTGCCGTTACAGACACTGCCAAGGGCCATCATTGAATATTGATTCATCGGCCAAAGGCTTGGTATTTGCAAATTCATCGCAGCATCTTTAGGGAAGCTCATGTGCGCTAGAGACTAACTCAGCGGGAGTGTGAATCAACGCTATGACATCAAGTACCTAGAACAGAGAGATTAGCTAGGGTGTAATGCCAGCGCCTGCAACTATACCAGCTGTAAT